TTAAATTATTCTAAATCAAACACACATTTAAATTCATAAAAGGCACATTTTCTCCTGTGAATATGAATTCTGTAGGTGTTTTTACTTAGATTATCACTGACTGCAACCATCAAATCTAGCCCATTAGCAAGGCATGGTTGAACCAGAAAATGCATTTGCTGCAGAAAATAAATAAATGAATGAATTAATTAATTAATTAATGAACGGATGAATGAATGAATGAATGAATTAATTAATGGGTTTTTTATTATTATTTATTTAGTACTGACCTGAATAAGATATTTCACATAAAAGACGTTTACATATAGTCCACAAGAGAAAATAATAGTTGAATTTATAAAAATGACCACATTCAAAAGTTTACATACACTTGATTCTTAATACTGTGTTGTTACCTGAATGATCCATTTTGAAACTAGACGAATGTACTGTTACTTCCTCTATGGTCAAAAATCTGGGTGTTATATTAGACAGCAACTTGTCAAATTTCCCATGTTACAAAAACAGCATTGTTCCATCTTAGAAACATTGCCAAGCTATGAAACATGTTACCTGTTTGTGATGCAGAAAAGCTAGTTCATGCATCCATGACCTCTAGACTGGACTATTGCAATGCACTGCTAGGTGGTTGTCCTGCATCCTCAATAAACAAGCTACAGGTAGTCCAAAATGCAGCGACTAGTCCTTACCAGGTCAATAAAATATGATCAGCACTGGCTACCTATTAAGTTCTGTATCACTTACAAAATATGATTACTTACCTATAAGGTCCTTAATGCCACAATTCATCATGCTCCCTAAATTCGCAAAACTGGTAGTGCCTAGGATAACAAAGTCCACTAAAGGACGTAGATCTTTATTGCATTTGGCTCTCAAACTCTGGAATAGCCTTCCTGATAACGTTTGGGGTTCAGGCACACTGTATTTGTTTAAATCTAGATTAAAGTCACATCTCTTTGGCCAAGCATTCAAATAATGCATCTCATTACCTTGTACTGCAGTTATATCTGATCAAATGCACATTACTTTTCTTTAGCTTGGGCTAAGCAAATCAATTTTGCTTAGTTGAAACAGCAGCTATGCTAATTATGTCTCTATTTATTTCTCTGTTTCTGCCACGGGATTGACCCGTGGTAACTAGGATTTACATAAGCTTCAGTCTGGATCCAGAACACCTGAGAAGAAATGATGCCAACCCCTCTAAGGGACCTCAGATCATGCCAACCCTGAAACAACATACAGAACTACCAAATTTAGCTATAAGTTTGATTGCAACATACAATAATTGCTGTTAATAGTGTTCATAGTCTGTTTGATTACGCCTTTAATTTATTTTTCCGTACATTTCTGCCATATGTAAATTTACTGACGTAGTCACCACTGATAAGCTACTATTAAATATATTGTAGAAACATATATTGTACAGCTGCTTTGCAACGA